TGTTTATCCTTTTCTAAATTGGTGAATAGAGATTTTATTTGCAATACACATTTCTTTTTCTTTTTCTTTTTCTTTTTTTTTTTTTTGCTTATTCTTTTTTTTAGTGAATCAAATTTGGAAACAAGTTGTGATACCCCTGTTCCGTAATATGCTAATTGGTCCTTAATTTAAATATGATTATGTGTTTGATATGATTTTGTGTGCCATTATGTGAATATATGTGGTTTTGAATTTCTATCTATTCACCGTAAGAATATCTATTTGAATAAGTTGCTTTGGAAATGAAATTTGAGGCCTTTTCGGCCACAGAACCTGAAATTGATTACGCCATTGTAATTGGCATAATTTTTAGAGCCTCCGGTGAAATTTAATCAGAAATTGATTTGGATCAAATTAATCAGATAAAAAATTAAAGAATTAGTGCCCAATTGTTATTATTATTATAATGGACTTAGTGGAGATTGTTGTAAAGAGGCACTACACCTCAATTCTCCTCCTTAGTTGCATTGTGGCTAATCTTGGACTCAAAATTGAGAGAGGGCCAACTATAGAGAGGGAGAAGAGGAATTGTACAATTTCGGTCTTGAGACTTGGAGACTTGGAGCCTAACTCAAGATTTGATCATATTGGGAAGATTAAGGCTCGTAGGTGAGTGAATTTGAACATCTTAGTTTGTAATCTTTGTGAATTCAAGTTGAATGTTGATAAGGAACCTAAGATGAATTGATCATGATGAAATTGAGTTAGTTTTGTTGGAATTAAAGCTTGATATGTACATGCATGCAAGAAATTGTTTGAATTTGCATGTTTAAGCTTGAACCACATGATTCATGTAGGATTGTGGTTGGAACTCATGTATAATCACCATTTATATCATCTAAATTGAGAATGGGAGCTAGACATCACATGCATGTACAATCTATGAAGATGAGAGCTTGGAATGTATGAATGTGTATGTTAGAATTGAGTTTGGTGTCAATTTGAGCCATGCATGTGTTAAATCCTTGAAATTGAACTCCATGATGTTGTGTTTTGGTGTTTATACCATGTTAGAACTAGTATATATGAGGTTTGAGCCATAGAATGCAAGAATGTTGGTTTGAGAGTCGAATCTTAGCTCAAGAACACAACCTGGGAAACCCAGAATTTTGATATCCGCTCGAGCGGGGTAATGGCCGCTCGAGCGTGAAATACGTGCTCCTAGTATTTCTTCTGTAGATCATGATGCCCGTTCGAGCGGGGAAGTCCACGCTCGAGCGGGGAGCTATGTAGGATGGACTTCCGCTCGAGCGTCGGAGGTCACGCTCAAGCGTAAAAATGATACATCCAGAACTTTTTGCAAACATGGAGTCCGCTTGAGTGGGGAAGCTCACGCTCGAGTGGGGATTCATGTAGAGAGGCTTTCCGCTCGACTGCCATATTGAACGCTCGAGCATAAATTTCACATATCCAATACTTTTGCAGGCCTCAAGGGTCCGCTCGAGCAGGGACCCTGTTTTTTGAAATTTTGTTAATGCATTCTGTGTTTCATTTTCTGTTCTCTTTCACTTCTAAGTACTCTTAGGTAGGCATTGAGCATTGTAATTGAATTAAAGTGATGAGCATGAAGCCTAAAGAGGAAAATGTGAATTGAAGAACGGATTGAATTAACTGTGACCCATATGTGTTATGTGATATGTAGGGTCAAGCTCCAGGGCAAATCCACAAGCCAATCACTGTGAGTAATATCTGAAATATGTTATTGTTCAATTGCTTACTTCTATGTAAGTTTTGTAAAGTTCATTAATCTTGAATGGTGGACAAAGTTTGAAATGAAAGTCTGAAAGGCTTAAATGCCAGTTTGAAATGAAAGTTTGAAAGGGCTTAAATGCCAGTTTGAAATGAAAGTCTGAAATGCTTAAATGCCGGATTGATATGACAAGTCTGAAAGGCTTAAGTGCCAGTTTGATATGACAAGCTTGAAAGGCCTAAGAGCCAGTTTGATATAAGAGTTTGAAAGGCCTAAAGGCCAGTCTGAAATGAAAGTTTGGAAAGGCCGAAAGGCCCGTTTGATATGAAAGTTTGATAAGGCCAAAAAGGCCAGTTTGACATGAATGAATTGGGCCCAAGGCCGTCTGTTGTTTAACATTTCAATGCATTCCCCTTACTTGATATTATTCACTGGGCTTTCGCTTACGCTCATTCATGTGTTTGTAGGTGAGCCAAGAGAGGTCCAGACCCAGCCCTAGTGAAGCTTGAATGGATCAACATAGGTTTTGGAAAGTCAGCCCTTGTGTCTCACGCACGAGACTCGCCTTCACCTTTTGTTATTTTGTTTTAAGTTGTCATGTTGGCGAAGCCTTTGTATATGTCTGTATATAGTTCATGGGTTGACTTACTTTTGGATGATCCTGCTGTACAGAACTTATGCTACTGCATTGAGTTGTGAGTTATTAATGTCTATGCGTATGGTTTGTTTTGACGTGCCATGTAAGCACAGCTCTAAAGATAAAGTTTTTTTTTTTTAAATTGCTTCTGTTTGGCCCCCATTAACTCTGTTAAATACGTTTGGTTTAGTTTGAGGCCGTAGGTAATCTCATGATTGCTGGCCGGTTACGCCATTAACCCATGGGGGCGGGTTCGGGTCATGACACAAGTATTTTGATGGAATAATCATACCATTCCAACATTTATTCCACTATATCGAACACTAACTTAGAAACCAAATGGTATGTAAAGCTCCAGGTGCTTGCTAGTTTTACATTTAGGGCATATTTATTTGGATGGACTTGGCTATGGGATTAGACTAATAATCTAATAAAATGCATAAAGACATAGTATCCCTTGTACAAAATAGAGAACTAAGGAGAGGTTCGGACTATCAATCTCATCGTATCATCCTGTATCAATCCAAACATAGGACAAGATTAACAATCCAAAATGATAAATAATCTTAGGACTGACCTAAAGATGTTAATCCCATAAATCCAATCTGCTTAAACAAACAGGGTCTTAGAGAATTGAAGTGGAAAACCATTGGATTCAAGCTCTCCCGCAATCCATAATGTTTATTCACAAGTCATAGTAGCAATTTGCATGCCACATATTACTAACTCCATGACAAAAATAAAATAAAATAAAATTTATTCTAGTGATTTTTGTGACCTAAAATCCCCACCCTATTTTGAATATTGGCCAATAATAATTTGTGAACTACCATAGTGATTATGGCTTATAACTACGACTCTTTATATGTTTTGTTTGCGCTGACTAATTTATCACAGGCTCTCTATTATCTTATTAACTTTTAAATATTTCCCTAAATTTAAGATTTAAACAAAATTTGAATTCTTTAAATATAGTTCATGATAGTAACAATTCGTCGCCACCATTTATGTGATATTGATATTGTTTGCTTTGGGTTTATGGACTATCACGGTACGCTTTGGGTCCACAGTAGCGATGGCAATTTGAAACCAACCCAATAGAGACCCGATCCCTTGACCTCGATTTGAACGGTTTTTCCCCAAAAATACCCCTGACAGGATGGGGATGGTATTCAAAAATCAATCCCTGATCAATTTTGGGCCAAGGACGGTGATAAGTGTCCAAGCCCCGACCTCATTTGTCCCCGAAGTGAGATATATATATATATATACTTTCTGATGTACTCTCTCTCTCTCTCTCTCTCTCTCTCTTCCCTCTACTCTCTCTCTCTCTCTCTCCTCCTCATCGTCTCTCATCTCTCTTTCCTTTTTACTCACTCAAAGTCTCTCTCTCTCCCTCCTTCCCTCTCATCTCAATAAGATCTCAAAATGTGGTGCTTTGATCGGGAAAAAACTAATCTCTCTTTCTCACCTTCTTTTTCTCTCCCTCCTTTCGACTGCCGATAACGCTTCCTCCGCCACTGCAGACCACCCGTCTTCAACCGTTTTCGCCCATTGGCCGAGCTACAGGACTAATTCATGAGATCTCAGTGATGACGATAATGAAGCATCCCAACATCATCCTAATTAAGATCTACTTTGCCATGGAGACCAAGATCTACTTCTACTCTGCCATGGTTCCAAGATTTTTTTGAACAGATCTATGATTTTTTTTTTGAAAAATCTTGATCAATCTTGATCTTTATATATATATATATGGATTCAGATCTGATTTTTTTTTTTTTTAACATATCTAAATTTTTTTTTTTAGACATTTCAGCTCACAAATTTGTTGAATAGTGCCAGATCTGAATAGTGTTAGATTTATTTTTTTTTAGACATTTCAACTCACAAATTTTTAGATTTGAATAGTGTTAGATTTGTTGAATAGTGTCAGATCTGGAAGATGACGATCTGCTTGTGATGTTATTTATCTCACAAATTGTGTTTGGATTTGGACCTATGTTTTGTTTGAATAGGTCTTCATTCATTGATTTGGATTTGGATCTCACAAATTGTTGAATAGGTCTTCATTTGGATCTGTGTTTTGAATTTTGATCTTCATTCTCTGATTTTTTTTTTTTTAGCTGGGGACGGGAAATTTTAAGGGTCAGGGACGGCGATAGATTCCCCGTCGAGGATCAGGGACGAGGGCGGGAGAATTTGCACCATCGGGGATTAGGGACGGGGGATGTGATCCCCGGCCCGGCCCGTTGCCATTCCTAGTCCACCGACCATCACGGTTTTATCTTTATGGTCTCTCAGAAAATACCTCACATAGTTAAGGATGGCTTATTCCATATATGGTTAGTTAGACTATTAGTATCTATCCAATGTGGGACTGGTGTATCCCACATGTCGAAATCGAAATTGAATACATGTTGTATATGCATTCTTTATTTCGTTTTTTTTACATAAAACTTGAATTTTTTGCCTATTATCAATAATTTCTTAAATTTCATGCATTTTTTTAATATATATAATCTAAATGATTCCATGCATTTTATTTGTGATTTCATACCTGATCATTTTCTCAAATTCTTATAAACAAAACACTTGAACTCACATGTATTTCTCTCTAATTCCTTGTTGCAGGTTAAGAGAGAAGACCATTATTGCTACTGTAACTTATGATAATGTTGGAATAATGAAGTGGGGGTTAAGGTAGACATTGACAAAGTTTGGGCTAATATTTGATAATATTGTTGTATAAGTAGATTGAGTGGCTGTGAATCTGTGATGTGGTACTATTTGTGATGTTGGTTTGGTAATGTACTCTGTTCTACTGTGTTTTATGTTTATTTTATTGATTTTTTTCTTTTTGTCATTAGACATAGAGAGAGTGGATTCATTCATATGTTTGACCACGTACAAAGAAAAGCATGCCTGAGTGTTATTATTTAAATTAATATTACTCACTATTTATTATCTACTAACTATTTATATCACTTAAATATTTTGTCGAAAATTTTTACTTTTTACGTATCTTTATGTGTCATGTAATTTTAATATTATTTTAAATATGATGAATTACACATATATATACACTAACGGCCGGGCAGATGCCTTGTGCAAATTCAAAAAAAGTACTTCGTTTTTTTTTTTTTTTTTTTAAATGACTATACATCACAAACTCATTAAAAAAACCAGATAGAAAACGCTTACAACTTTGATATAAACAAAGTAAAACAATAATTCTTGAAAAATTAGTACTCTTTTTAAAAACTACAAATCCAAAATTCTTAGAATACTTACAGTTAAAGAGATTTAATATCCATCAAGAAAAATAAACAGTTATATTGAAATTTTTTAGATATAAACGAAGTAAAGTAATATCAAATTTTTTTCCCAAAGAACTTGACAACATAATGAAACTTTTTATCTTTTTATATTTTTTAATGAAGAAAATAAAAAGTATAATTAACATTAGTACACACAAAATACAAAAATACAAACTCAAGACTCTTAGAACATTTATAATCAAAGAGATTTATATAAAATATAAAATAATCCTAACCAAAACACTCAAAAAAAAAAAAAAAACTGTTTTTTTTTATTTTTTTATTTTAAAGGAAAGCGTTCATCGGCATGTAGACAGCTCATAAGCAGTCCATGGTCCCGACAAACTCTTCTCTATAAGCAATCAGAACAACTGGGTTTGGGCCATTGTCTTGGCGAACAAAAGTCACGTTGGACCACTCTGGTCTTCAGCTCAGGGGGACTCTATGGTCTTCTTCAACTGAGTCCATATCTGAGTCCAATCGGGTAAGCAATCAAGGGTTCAGTGCTCAAATATTTAAAGAAGAAAAAAAAATTATAGTACTCAATCCATGTGCTACATACCAATAATATTAGGGTGGGTTTGTTTGGACGGACTGGATAAGAGGGATTAGAATTCACCGGATTGTTAGTCCTAGGATACATTGTCCCCGGACTATTTGGTTAGACTGGATTTGTATCTCATGTTTGTTTAGTCATGGGATTAGATGTCAGGAAAGAACTATTTGGTTGGATAGGATATGAATCATATGTTTGTTTGGGATATTATGCAGAAGAATAAATGTTCAAATGACTATTTTACCGTTTTTAATTATTTACTAAGTAATAGCAATATTAAACATATCTTTAATATTTTAATTATTTTTAACTAGACTAAATAAAAATTTATTTTATTTTATTTTTTACACAATTAAATAAATTTATTTTTTTAAAATAAAATAAATAAAATATCAATAAAAATATATGTTATTTTTTTAATTAAAATTTTAAATAAATTTATTTTAAAAAAATAATAATTAAATAATGAAATTAAATAAAACATCTATTAAAATTTAAATAATGAAATTAAATAAAATATAAACAAAATTTTAAAATAAAAACATCAATAAAATATCTATAAAAAATTATTTTAAAGAAAGAAACTCAAGGGAAATGAGCCTAGAATGGTGGAAATAAGGAAGGAAGCACCGAAATCAAGTTTCAATCGGCACAAAATGAAGAGAACAAAGAGGTTTTAGCGATCCCCCCCCCCCCCTCCCCCATGGGACACAATAGTCCAATGGATTTGGGACTATTAGTCCGAAGGGACTAATAGTCTGGTGCCCAAATTTTGAATCAAACAACGGACTATTAGTGCGAATAGACTAATAGTTTAATTCCACCTCCCAATCCCTCAAAACAAACACCACCCCTTAAAGGTAAACTACCGATAGGTCCTAATAATAAGACTTAATTACCATAAAGTCTTATTGCAAATTAAGTCATAATAAAATCGTCGCTAAAAATAATTTTTTGAAGCGATTTTTTGCATGTTGTTAAAAATTGACAATTAGTGACTCTTTTTGTTGTCACGATTTTTATAAACTGTCCCTAAAACTTACAATTAGTAACGTTTTTATGTGACAAATTTTTCAAACTGTCGCTAAAAGTTGAAAATTAGTGACTTTTTTATGACAATTCTTTTAAACTGTCGCTAAAACTTTTAATTAGTGACATTTTTTGTAACAATTTTCATACTCTCTGAAAATTAACAATTAATGACGTTTTTTTAATAATGTTCGGTAAAAAATACCATTAATTATCATAAGATCTATTGGACAATAAGTCCACCTGTTAAGACATTCACGTAAGTGTCTCTAATATTAATGCAAATTTTTTTTTTTTTTTCCGAATAGAGGTAACCTGCAAATTTGAGTGGAAAAAATAAGCATGAGCTAAATAGGGGAAAATTCATAAACTTTTCAAAGGTATGAATTGAAAATTTGTAATTTCCGCGAAGACGTGTAAGCTTGTAGGGAACGTGGGTTATATCTTTATTTTTCTTTTAAATTCTTCTTTAGTATATCAAAATTGAGTATTGGGTTGTTAATTAGGAAACATTTAAGGGAGAATCGTGGCAAATGTAATATAATAGAATATGATATAATATATTAGGGTGTGAGCCGGTTGCTTAAAATATAAATTCTAATTTTAAATTCATATCATATTTTTTTATGTTATTTTAGTGATACAAATATTCTTTGATAAGTTAAGTGGATAGTCTTAGGTTTAAGTCTTGTATCTCTTTTTCTTTTGATTTTTTTTTTTTTTTTTTTTTTTAGATAGATAAATTAACACTTAACATAGGAAGAAAAGTCTCTTAATAAAAGAAGGAAAAGAAATTCATAAATAAGTGAGGTGTTGATTTTTAATAATAATATATAGATAGATATAGATAATATTTGTTACGTGAATATTTAATAAAAGGTAAAAATACATAAATATCATTTCGGTTCCCTATATACTCCTTGTTCAGAGAGTCATAAATATCATTTCGGTACTCAGAAAGAGTAGGGCAATAAAATGTGGTATACCCTACTTGAATGGGCTAAATTAAGTAGCAAGTCCAAGCCTAAGCCCCCAATCTGACATTGATTGATTGTAGGGTTGGCCTGTCAAGCTCATTTATATAATAAAAGCCCAACACTTTTTTATTAAAGGAAGTTGATTGAAAAATCTTATTAGGAAGATTTGTGTACTAATAACTCCTGTTTACTTTTAATTGTTATTATAAAATTTTATTTTTTAGTTTTTTAGCATCATTTTCTTAAAAAAGTTTTACTAATTATTAGTTTTAACAAAAGTTGAAAAAATTATTATAAAAAATCTTCACTAATTGTTATTTTTTAGCAACAGATTTAGAAAATGGTCCCCAAAAAAAAAGTCACTAACATTTGTGAAATTTTTTGATCTATACAAACACGTCCACAAGTCCTTGTAACAAGACTTGTGAGTAATTACCCCTTTTTTTAAGTAAACCAACACTCATTACCATACTCATCTCTTCTTATGCTAGAATTAGGATTGTGTTCGGACGGGTTGAGTCTTTGTCCAAGTCTAATTCGAGTTTTGGTGAGAGTTGTCTAACCCTCCCAAGACAATATAATAAGGGCAAATTATACCGGTAGACCCTATATTTATCATTTGTGTTGTTTTGGTCCCTGCATTATTAATTGGCTCAATTTTAATTATTAATTTTAAATTTGTTTTAATTTGATACAATGAATAATATCGTTAGTGTTTTTTTTTAAAAAAAAATTATTACTAAATTGGTTGAGATTAACTAACTGAATTGAGTAAATTTATAATTTTACACTTAAAATATGGCACGTGACACTTATGTATGTATTTTCCATAAAAAAATGTTAAGAGTTGTAATCAATTGGACTAAATTAAAATAAATCATAAATTCAGTCAAAATCGAGCTAATTAAAAATACAATAACTAAAATTACACAAGGAGTAAGATATAAGGACACCGTCGTAATTTTTCCAAATATTTTTTTTTTACATGTGTTTGATTAATATAGATAATTATTCTCTAACATATTACAAAATACAAATCTCTTGGGTACCCTTACATGTATTATTATACGAGAATAATGAATATTCACTTCAAACCAAAAATTCTTTTTCACTTTTTCTTGCCTTTTTCATCTTTATTTTTATTTTTATTTTTTTTGGGGGGGGAATTAAATAAATAAATAAATAAACTGTTCATCTTTTGATGAGTTCCATTTATTATTGTTGTCTCTTTGCGCAGAAAATTATTTGGGATGAAGGATAGGTTCATTTTATATGAGTATACAATTTTTTTTTTATTAAAAATTCACATTTAATTGATGACCCAGGGAGTTTGAGAATGATCTATAGACTTGAGGAATAACTGTAGATGTTTTTAGATGGTCAGCAATTGGCTAGAGATTAATATGTCAATCCAACGTTTAAAATGAAAGTAGACTCAATAAAAAAAGATAAAATGTTGGTTGGTTGTGCCAAAATGACATTTATACTATTGTAACAATATTGTTATAATTTGATATTTTGGCACTGTAATATGACAAATTATAATTTTGCCATTGTCAAAATGACAATTATCGTTGGATATGGTTTTATAAGTTTAAAAAAAAATTGAATTTAAAATAATTTTTAATTAAATAAATAGATTTGAAAGAAAAAATAATTAATTGATATGTATAATACGAGGCTTGAATTTGTTGACTTAGTGACTGTGATGACCGGGTACGTTATTCATCTCGTTTCACTTGGTTTAATCTTGGGTTTGCCTTTGTTAGAGTGTCGGGTTTAACTGGGAGCCTTGTTAACGATTTGGGTTTGTTGTATTTGGAAGCTTACTTCAAAGTGCTTGCTTTTATCTATTTATGTGTCAAGTTTCTCACGTTTCGGAAGGTGCGAGGTTAAGTCCGGAGTGTCCGATGTTGAGCTGGAAATATTTTATGGCTGGAGAACAGAGTCGT